TCGAAGCCTTTTCTGTGTCACAGTGCAGCAGAATGAAGAAAGAATCGTTCTGACCTCAAAGCTCTTACAGAGCCACTATGTGGCTGCAGCATACTGTAGTTATGCTATATTTTCTTGTCCTTTAATAACATCTCTAAATGTATTACCTAAGTTTGGATTTATAAAGTCGCAGTGTATGTGTCATCTTTGCATATAGAGTGAAACCAAGCCTGTGGGTATCCTGTCGGCTTTGTGGTTCATTTATATGGATGTGAATAATGAACTGATTTGTGTATCTCTGTGGTTTCTCGCCTCCTCGTTGTCTCAGTAATTGGAAACTGTTGCCTCTGAGAGCTTCTGGTCACAGCAGGAGTTTAACCTTGTGGATGAAGACCAGCTTTTATTGCAATAAAATTCTCTGTGCAAAAGAAAACATGGAGTCCAGAGTGAAGTTTTCTGACCTGATCTGATACTTTTACTTCAGATATTAAAATAACACCTGTAGCCACATGCTGCGTATTCCAAATACTGAAGGTCGTAATTAAAAAATATGAGGTTAATGAGTGTAAGACAGGTTTAAATTTGCACACAGAACTAACTTTAGCAACAGCTTGACAAGCGGTCGGTAAGGAGAGCAGCACTGCAGGTCCTCCTGGCCGAGGTGACCCAAACTAAAGCTCCGTAAAGAAAGCATCATGTGAGATCTGGATGTGATGCTTGTGATGTTTTTCTAATTCTTCCTCTCCCTGCATCTTTCTCTCTTTTATCTCTTCCCTCAGACGGTGAAGCAGATGTGGCCGTTCATCTGCGAGTTTATGGACAAGCTGTTCAGAGAGACCATCGAGCCGGCGGTGCAGGGCGCGAACCCTCACCTCAGCTCCTTCTGCTTCGCTAAGATCGACTTTGGCACCAAGGTGACCAAATAGAAACACCAAAACTGCAACAGTATGAATACTTACAGTACATACTGATTTTTGTGAAGCAGTTTGAATTAAAACTGAGCTCTTCATACATGAATCAGAAACAAAATAACACATTTACTGTTTTACAGGACGTTTGAGGACACAAAGTACTGTAAGACTAAGATTGCACAGCCATGCTAGCAGCTCTGTAAGGCTGTACGAAGGCACAGTGGTGCTTTGAACTAAATAACATCAGTGCCAACATGTTCATGTTTAGCAGGTGTAATGTTTACCAGTGTAGCTTATGAATGTGGTAATTAGCACTAAGTACAGCTTCAGCTGTACCTGGTTGTTATAGTTTAAGACAAAATGAGGAAATTATATTGTGAGCTAGTGAAAAATATTTCCTACTGCAAACTGATGCTACTGTCCATTTAAAGACTTCTTTTTTTTTTAAATCAACAGTTGGTATCAAAAATTTCTAGTGATGCACCGAAATGAAAATTCTGGGCCGAAACCGAAATCGAAAATTTAGGATGCACTTGGCCGAAAACCGAAACGAAACCGAAAATGGCTTCTTTTAAAAACTTCAAATTTGTAAAACACGCTTACTCTATAATTGTGTATGTGTGTGTGTGTGTGTATGTATATATATGTATATGTATATATATATATATATATATATATATATATACACACTACCATTCAAAAAGCTTGGGGTCTATTTTGCCAGTTGTTTTTGGCATAACTTAACAGCGGAACACACTTATGGCATTCTTTTTGCATCTGAAATCAAATTGTGTTTAGAATAGATAGCTCAGTTGTAGAAGTTCTCAAAGTGTACAACTGGATAAAAGAAGACAAATTAAAGGCACTCCTTTAGAAATTATTAAAAAGCTTTTATTGAGATTGCTCTCATGATGTGGATAAAAGCAGTACATGTTCAAAAGTGGGTTGCAGCCCATGCATAGCAGCATAAAACCCCCTTCAGGGTGTAACCTGAAATACACAAGTTTCCCTTAAGTAGATGTGAGGTAATTGAAAATACCTGATGACGACAGGAAACCAACAATTAATGGCAAAGAACAAACACACTCCAGCAGATGGCTAGAGGGAACCCACACACACACACACACACACACACACACACACACACACACACACATACATATAGCGTGCCTTTTCGGCGTGTTTTTTTTATTTCGGCCCGAAATAAAAATGGCCTTTTCGGCCGAAAATTTTCGGTGGCCGAAATTTCGGTGCACCCCTAAAAATTTCCAAATGTTAGGTTAATTCTGTCCATACTGGTTTCAATACCAGCCATTTGCAAAAGTTTATTGACCTCTTAAATATTCTGCCTTTCCTGAGAGGTGCAGCTCTGTTGCTTTGTCATTGATTTTATTGCAGTACTGCTTTGCCCGAACTGTTCCCTACTTCTGGAAAGGCCAGGCTGGGGAAGGGAGGCAACATCACTGTTTCCTTTCCCTCAAACACACAACATCACTGGACTGCTGACGCCATCTTACACAGGCTCGCTCCTTAGGGTCTGGGGGCTGTTTATGAGGGGAATACATCATGTGACAGGTCAGGGGCCGACCCTGAGCTGCACAGTTCCAGTCCTAACAGTAAAAATAAAGCATGATAAACAAGAAAACAGAGGAAAGGTTTAACCAGACCATGAAACATAGATGCTGCTGTCCTGCTGTCCTGGCCAACTTCACCCTGCTGAGCCCCCCTGGGGCTCCACGGTGGCCTTGTCTTGTTCCAGGGTGGAACCATAAACTCTACACCCCTGTCTTTATTATACACTTGCTGAACATGCCTACACTACACACTGTCACACACACAAACCAAATCTAAAACCCACTATGTCTGTTTTGTAAATGTTCTGTATCTGGTGTCTTGTCCTCCATGTTCTCTACTCTGTCCTTTTAAATGTGCAGGTTTGTGTTTCAAAACTGTTCCCTAGTTATTTAAGTGAGAAACAAAAAACACTGTACAGGACTAGAGTAATCTGAAAAGGCTACACTACAGAGCATTAAAGCCCATCGCCTTAATGTGTTATCAAAAGCTGAATAGAATGGAAGGTACCCAGTGCAATGTGCAGTATCACATACTGTATTGGAATGTAGAAAATATTTAGCAGTGATAGGAAGTACTAGCTGTTTTTACCATCTGAGCTGAAACATGCATCTTTCCAACTGCTGCTCACAGCCTCTGACAGAGTGTAGGCGTTTCTGTCTTTTATTGGTGTGTTTCTATTTGTGTCGCCTTTGTTGCTGTTGAACTTAGGAGGACTCACATGGACTGGATTTTTTTATTCAGTCTCTATTTCAGAACTGTTTGCAGGAGAACAAAAGCAGTAAGGTGACTGTGGTGTTTAATCAGAGCTGAGAAGAATTCCTGCTCCGTCACTGCCAGGCTGTCTTCTCGTTCTGTCTTTTACAGTCTGAACCGGGTTGTGCTCACGTTTCACAGCAGAGCATTATACTGTATGAAGATTATAAACGACACGTGAAAGATGAAAATCCTGGTCAAGTGTGAGAAGAATTTGCTCATTTGTTCCTGTTTTTTAACACGTTTGTGTTTGTGCAGCCGCTGAGAGTGAACGGGGTGAAAGTTTACACAGAGAATGTGGACAAGAGGCAGGTCATCATGGACATGCAGATCAGGTACACCGTATTCACCTCGCATTCACAAACCCTGGGCTGCACCACCATCGCTTGCATTATCTAAAGGCTGCTGATATTCCAAGTTTTGTTGAGGACTAGTTTCATTACTTCTACTGCTTGTTAGTAAGATCATACAGTATTTAAGTTACAGCATTTTTGCTAATTTTTTCGCCCTGGAATAGAGCAAAGACACAGCACAAAGCCATTCATGTCAAATCTACAGTTTGTGTTCCCATCTCTTATTTTCTCGGTCTTTCTTTCAGTTTTATCGGCAACACGGAGATTGACGTCGACATCAAGAAATACTACTGCAGAGCTGGAATCAAAAGTATACAGGTACGAGAGCAGTGTGGGTGTATAGCATTAAATGCCATGTCAAGATGTGGCTTTCTTCCCCATGGTTACTTAAGATGAATCCCAGTTCCACTAACTGCATCCATGTTTCCCTCACTTGTCTTTTCCTTGCCTCTTAGTCCAACCCACATAAGACACAAAGAAAAGATGCAAGGTGACAGAAATGAGGAAACACGTTCTAAATGACATGAGACGTCCTTTACTCCGATCCTTCATGTAACTCATCCAATCACAAACTGATTAATGAGGAAGGGGTGTGTCAATTTGTAACAAATTTCCGCAAAGGATGCACTCGTGTATCCTCGGTTATAGCTCCTCCAGGCAGTGTCCTTGCTCCTCAGGGCAGAAATAAGAGCTTTGGGAAATCTCTGTAGTTCTCTAAGAAGTGGTAAGTCATGTTTTCTGATGAAAATAAGCACATTAATCTTATAAGACAATGGAAAATAGAGACGAGTACTTTTAGGCAGATGTAAGGTTGTAACCCTGATTCCTTCCACCATGATAGTTCTAAGTAACGCGCTGACACAGGAATGATAACGGAGATGTTGTCCACTCAGCTGCTGGCAGAGGATCAGGCCATATTTGCTGGTCAGAGATCAGATGGGGGAGAAAGAGAGTGTCAGAAGGATTTACAGAGTGTACGAGGCAGAGTCACTATTTCCCTTTATGTATGACTTATATTTTATAGCCACAGGCCTGAGCTGTTTATCAGCTTTTCATAAAATGCTGAAGAGATAAGTAGAGCAGATGCCCAGTACATTCATTTAGAGCTTATCATGAATGATGAGTCATGAGACTAGATCAGCCTTCTTTGTTTAATCATTTCTTACATGTCTGTTATTGAAAAACAGCTAAACTACTACAGATACAGACTGATTTCTACAACATCCTCCTTCAGGCTGTGGGAGGGCAGTGAGGATAAACAAGTTTATCTTCAGTATCTCTACTGCGCCCACTTTGATGAGCAAAATGTTGGTAGTAACTTAGTCAGGGTGAGCTACGACCAAATTTGGTGCTGCACACGGGCAGTCTACATATCTGAGGTTTGAGTCACCGCAGCCACTGAGAAAACAGTGTCCTCCTTAACAATAAAAAGCTCTGAGGAAACTTTCACACACACAGTATTTCTTAAGAATAATCAGCCATGTCTAATTTCAGTTTGGCACAAAAAGCTTCAGCCTGAACCAGTTTTATCACTTTTATATATGAGATTTTGCATTGACTGACTCTCAGATTTTCTCTCCTCATGGCTCTTAGCACCACAAAGATGTAATGTTTCACAGTCTGATGTTAATGGAGGCAGCCAAGTATCAAGTGAAGGGTGAGCTGTTGTTGTCTGAGGGGCCAGTGTGAGGTTATAAAACAGAGAAAGCAGGATAAATCATCAAAATAAAGATAAGTCTAATGTCAGTATAGAGCACAACATGGCGATCAGACTGTACGGTATCCAGCAGGATGTAAACATTTATTCTCTGTGTTATTTGGAACTTTTTGAACATCAACATCCCGAGAGAAGCTGCTTTGGCTGATCTTTGCCAATTCTTTATATACACCTTCACAGAATCATAGTTCCAGCTGTACTCTTAAGACGATTCTGTGTCGAAGAAAAGTAAAAGGGCAGAGAGTCAAACCTCAGTGTGGTGCTACTTGTAGCACTCGGTCAGGGCAATTTAAAAAAAACAACCAAAAAAAAAAACCTTAGTTAATACAAAAAACCTTGGGTACTACTGTTGTTTATAGATTAAGTGAACATTTAATAACTTGGAGCCCTCTTTTGATAATGAAAATTGAGCTTTTAGATGGTGCTTCTCTAAATAAGGTATCAAAAAAGTGTTGTTTCTCTAGTGACTTAGACACATTATTGGCACTATTATCAAATTATGGGAAACTATACCCAGCCATTGTCATGAGGCCCAGACAGAAGGACAAAGACAGAATTATTGCCTTTTCCTAGCAAGTGTGACAACTTCTCTGTGAAGCCATAATAGATCTGACCAGACAAGCCTGGCAGGAAACACTAAGTAGTAACTAATTCATGTTTTTTTTGCCTGTCCAGCTTCATGGAGTGATGAGAGTGGTGATGGAGCCTCTGCTAGGGGACATGCCTCTGATCGGAGCCCTGTCCATCTTTTTCCTCAATAAGCCTGTGAGTACCTTGACCTTTGACCTCATCCTCAGACTATGACTGTCACATGTGGTGCACTCTTTGTGTAAGCTGGTTTATCAGGAGGACATTTAACAGTGCACTTATTGGTAATAACAGAGAAGAAACATATTTACACTTGAATGTTATTTTAATAATCGGTTTTCACTTGATTTTCACTGATTTTTATTTTCGCCTTTATTTTAATTAAAGTTTTTTTAGCTTTTAAAATAGAAACAGATTAATAAGCTATATATACAATATCTAATTGGGGCAGCTGAAGATGAATGCCTTGCACTGGTATATTTTAGTAAAACTCTGGTGACCCAGTCGAACCAGGCCACCTAGCGCCGTGTTTGAAATTTGAAAAGCCTTTTTAAATAGTGAAAGATAAGCCTGAACAAAAATATGTTGTTTAATGTACAAAGATAACAAAAAAGCCAAACACACATCTCCTGTCTAGCTCCAATTGTTCTTTATCAGTGCATTCCTCCTCTGAACTGCTGTCTTCCTTCCTGTCCTTCAGCATATTCTGCCTTCCAGATTCAGGCACACACAGGAAAAGAATCACCAGCAAAAGCCTCAAACAGAGATGTGAACTTGTCACTTCTCCAAAAATATATATTTTCAGTGTGAAATTAGAAGAAGGACATCAGTTACTGTATGACAGCAGTGAAAACTCAAACTCAGATATGTCCTGGCTGATTTTACCATTTACCATTAGCTGTTGAGCACGGTGTGAAGATCCCAGATAAGTTTGTGTAGAGAAACCGCTTATGATCCAATTAAGATTATGGAATGAGAGAGAAGATTACTTCTGGATTTAGCTAGAATCACGATTGTTGTGCAGAAATGGAGCTTTCTGTCTCCTGTGTTCACTGGTCTGCAAAGATGTGCAGTGTAATTTTCATTATCTGCATCAGGGTGAAGTTCCCTGACCAGGCTTGTTTTCGGCGTTGTTGTGCGATGGGCCGATGTTACATCTTTGCATCCCTCAGCACAAAGTGACATTGCTACTGTCACGTTCGATATGCTTCATCCAGGTCTACCCATAGCTCTAACACTAGCAGAGTTAGAGGTTCGTTTCCCACTGGGAGACGGTTTTTGTCCATTAACATATCAAGGACTAGATAAGTCTAACTTCTTCCTACTCCGTTCAAGCATGTACTAGGTATAAGCAAATTGATAATATATTTGTGGATATGTGTGGAATTATGTGTGTTGACATATTGACTGTTGTTACATGTTTGAAAGAATAAATCAAATCAAATCAAGGAGGGATCAGCACAGTTTTATGTCTGAGCATTATGATTTTGAAGTCTGCATGACGCCCGAGTCCCCAAATCCCCTGGTAAAGTCATTTGAGTCAGTGTGAATAAGCATCATACTTGTGCTCATCAATGACAGAACCTTTGAAATGCTGTTAGGACTGTGGAGACAAACCTTCACTGTTCTAAATGCATGACAATTTCGAGGCACTCCGTTGTTCTGTTGCAGCAGTTTTGTGAGTCAGACTTGTCCGCAGAGGTCCTGATCTCAGATTTGCAAGTGTATAAAACACCCAGATGATAAATATGAAGTTGTCTTAGTATCCCTTTAATCTCTTGCCTCCTGGTGAATATCACCCAGTCCTGTCATAAATTGTAATAAACCTTTAACTACAGACCACAGTGCTGCTATAACACACTAACGACAACTTAGTTTCTTCTGTTTGGTTGGTTGCTGATGGTGTTTCCCCAGTGTGCTCCTCCCTGTGGCCACATGCATGCTGTGGCAGGTTGCCTGGCTGCAGGCTGAGATGTGCACCGACGCTGTGACTTGTCAGGAAGTCAGTTTTATTTGAAACCTCCTGTGAATTGCTTGAATAACAGCTGTAACCAAGGTGCAGTGTTGTGGTGCACTCTTTTAGTGATAATGTTGGATTTACATACCTGTCGTCGTCAGGATTATCTGGAATGCATTATTTGAACATCTTTGCCTTTATGGCTGCCAGCAGTAATATAAGGTTTAAACAAAGAAGAGGGCTTTCTCACACAGTGAAGAATGTGTGGACTGCTGTGTACAAATCAGGTTCTGTTTAGTCCGCAAACAAGTGAACAAAGTGCTGCTTTGATTTCATAGAAACACTCTCTGTTAATGATCTCAGTACTAGATGTGAGATTATGTAGTCATCAATTCAGTTTGTCCTTGTGTGACCCCTGGAAAATGCGCTGCTGCCTCTTTTTTTGTCTGTGTTTTGTTCATGAATCACCATAGACCTGCGAGTGAGGGGTTCAGACTTCTCAGGATATAAGCGTGGAAGCTCATTATTGACCTCGAAATTTGTAGTTTGGTAAAATATTCTCAATTCAAGTTTTACTTTATTCCAGGTTTTCAAACAGCTTGGGACTTCTGGCTTGATTTGTTAAATGAACAGAAGTTAACCCCTTTCTGCAGGTCGCTGGTTGACATACAGACCTCTAATGCTTAATAACCTGCCATCTAAACATCACAGAATCAGGGTAGTGGCTTAAATGAAAGCAGAGTGTTTATCTCCATGAAGCTAGAGCGCAATGAATTCATAACAAGGAGCTCAGCAGCTCTGACTGTCCAGGTGTTGCTTGTCATACTTCAAACATTCACCTTATTGATGAGGTCACAGGTGAGGGTTCCTTCTGATGACTCCATGTAGATCATGCGTGTGCATCAATAGTGCACTTTGGAGCAGTTGCCGACGGCTCCTGTGGAAGATAAGCCTTCAAACAGGGGTTTAGCTTTGCTCTTCCACCCAGTAGACGTGTAGTTTTATCTGAGTGTTTTCTCAGGCTTCCAGATCGTCCCAACATGGGTCTGGTGATTGTCTCGTGGAGGAGAAGCTACAGTTGTGTGATGATGATTGAGTGTGGACCAGCGGTTGGTTCACTGCGGCAGGAACACTTTGGCTGAGACTGGTTCACCGTATAAACCAGACACTTCTGCTTCTCCTTCTGATTGATTTGTTTACTCTGTGAAAATCAAATTGGCCTGATGATCAGGACAGAGAGCCTCCTTCAGGCCCGTGAAGCACTGTTTTTTTTATTTTTTTACCCCACCTCAGCCCCATCCAGACTATGGCCTGCTTTAAAAACTGGGTTTTCTGTCTGGTAAAAGGTGGCTAATGCTATCACTTACACTACAGTACCAATCTACCACTGATCAGCCATTCTACCATTACACCTACCACTGCTGCTACTGATGCTGATGAAGGTGGTCTTTTATGTTTCTTAACCTTTATTTAGACAAGGTAAGTTCTCTGAGAGGCCGACTCTTTTCGGCAGGAACACCCTGTTCACATTCACACGGTTACACACATTCACACCTGGAAGCTGCCCATTACAACCACAGACTGACCTGCTGGCCACTGAGCAGCTCCACTTGAGCAGCTGGGGGTTAAGGGCCTTCCTCACGGGCACCACGGTGGTGTTGCTGAGGGTGGGTAACTGTAAATATCCTGCTACTACTACGACTACTACTACTACTACTGCTGCTCCATCAGCACTGTTATGATATGACAGCAGCAGTAGGCATCAGGGTGTGTCAGGCATGTGTGCGGTGATTCAGTTCGCTTTAGTGACTGTTGGAGACAAACTCGGTGACATCATGTCCTAATAATCCAGTTTCTCAGGTTTCCCAGTTTTCTGTTCATGTATATAATAAGTCTTGTAACTGGGTTAGAAAACCAGGTTACGCTTCCATTCTGCTTATGAGCGTCTTGATTAACATGTTTATGTGGTTCCTGTGTGAAATCTGTGTGAAGAGATCATGTTACGACCTGCAGACTTGTGTTTCATCATCCGTGCTCCCTCTGATTTGCACATTATTAGAGGTAGCTTGTACTTGGACAAATCCTGACAGTTGTGTTCATTCCTAGCGTCTTAGCGGTCCCCACCCTGGTGCGAAGTGAGCAAGTGACTACTTGGGTGATGTATTTTTCGCATCGGTAACAGTTTCACTTTAAGTTTAAATTAAAGTTACATTTATCCGTCTATAATATGGATCAGTGTTGCCCAATCCTGGGGTCGTGGACCGGTAGCGGGCCACAGAACATTTGCTGCCAGGCTGCTAACCGACATGATTCTGCAGAAAATCTAAATGATAAACACACAGGTTCCTTCATTATAGGAAGAAAAGTGTTGCACATGTCTTACAACAGCCACATGTTTGAACTTGAGCTGTTCATTACCTGTGGATTCTTTCCATAACTTTGCGCTAGCAGCTCAGTATTTTCCTTTGGTGGTGGGGAACAGATTTCTTTTTCAGTCCCTTAAGAATGAGCCTACTACAGATTTATTATGGCACCTAATAGCTGACTATTTGTCCATGTAACCTCATTTGCAAAGACAGGCAGATGCAGTACCTCTTCACATGCTTCCTGCCAGTATGAAGGCTAACTCTGTGTGCTCTGCTGAATTGATTATTGGGTTGATTGAATTAGAGCCCATCTACTCGGTTCCTGTTGTTGGCCGACTCATGATGCCATCAGTGAGGAGGTGATATTGTGACGAGCTCAGTGCTGGAATAGAACATTTTAATTTCACGGATATTGTTGATGAATTTTAACAGGACCATACCAAGATCCCTATAGCTATTCTGCTGTACATGAAAATAGTCAAGTTGATTTTATTAATGAAACTCACAGCAGAATACTTTTGCTTCTCAGATTAAGTACACGGTTGGGCTGCGACAGGCTTTTTAAGGCCGAGGTGACAATTCATGAGGAATAAAATTAAGACTGACAGCCAGCATTTAGTTCTGACATGGAATTTATTTGATGATTTTTGCCCTTTTAATGCAAGAAGGTTGCACAAAAACTGAATCTTTTCACAGCCCACTAACATTAGTTCTCCTCATTAGCCAGTTTCTATAAATGTCATAAAACACAGGAGGAATTCCATCATTTAACAGTTACTAATAGATCATCAGATATGCAAACTTGAAAGAATATTTTTTTTTCTGCCAAAACTAGAATTAAAATTTTTAATAGTTTTACTGTTTATACAGTGTCTCATAGATTTTCATCAGAGACCATGAACTTTTTGGAAATATTGATGTTGCATGGAATTTCTAGGGTGGTATTTGGAAAACACATCTGAAAGGGTGTTTCTTAAGTTTAAAAAAGTGTTTTACTTAAACAGTACCATAAGGTTTGTTAGGCCACGGTTTTTGTTTGATATATTACTAAGCAGAAACCTCTTTATCCCACTTTGTCTTTTTTCTGTCACTGCTTTTTTATAGCCATGTTTCTCCCCTGTCTTTCAGATGCTGGACATCAATTGGACAGGGCTCACAAACATGCTGGACATTCCCGGTGTCAAGTAAGTGGCTCTACGTAACGTGGTGAGACTGCGATTCAACGTGTGTGTGCATGAGCCTGTGAGGACAGAAACCTGTTTACACACATTGCTGGGGACTCGCTCTTCCTCATGGGGACCAGATGCTGGTCCGCCTTGCATAGTCATTTGCTGAATTTTAGGGTGATGCTGTGGTTTAAGGTTAGGGTGAATCTCCAGGAAATGAACTGAAGTCAGTATAAAGTCCCCACCAGGAATGAAAGCAAACATGTATGTGTGTGTTTGTCTGTTTTAAACGAGTGTATTTGCATGTGTGTGTACCATCTGTTGGTCTGTGTGTGTATTCACTGATTTTCATGAGAATTAATCAGCTTAATTTGCTGTTCAGGGCCGTGCAGCCACACCCTGAACCCGAGCATGCAGACACACACACACACACACAAATGTCCAGGCTCCTTTGAGTGGTGGCTTCACACAGGTTGTGGGGCAGCTAGCTGGCTGTTGGAGAGAGCATGTGTGAAATAGCGACACATCATGACTGTGTCTGTTTTGTCTCCATGTGGACGTGCTCTCGCATACTGTGCACATCCTATGTTTGGATCACAGTGTGTTTATACAGATGGGTGACAAATTGATGGATGAAGCTGAATAACTGCAAGATGACAGTGCCCCCATTCACAGGGCGCAAGGGGCCACTGGCTGGTCTGATGAAGATGAACATGAAGTGAATCAGATGCTGTGGCCTTCAGAGTGGCATTCAGGGTGAAATGTTTTATTTCTGCCACTTAACACTGTGCACCACCACTACAAATTATAATGAATCAAAATCACGGTGGTGTCAGGCGTAACTATAGTGTTTTCAACTTTAACTTCTGGTGTGCCATTAATTCCGTTTTACATTTTAATAGAAATATAACTGAAGAGTCTCTAAAGTTGTAAACATGACACCCTTTTGTGAACTTTACTGTCATATTTTAACAAACAGTAAAAAGAGAAACTCTTCACAGTCTGTTAGAAAGTCTCGCATTCGATTACTGTGAACCCTCAACAGTAGGAAAACTAAAATCCTGCCAAGCCTCGAGTGCTTTTTGCAACGTGCAGAAGCAGATCCTCTCCGTTCGGTGTAATGACGGCACGCTTTGAAGAGCCATTCCCAGCGGACATGCAGCCAGAGTGGTCTATCTGGCTCTCCTGCTGATACAGTACATTAACCACCGGATCACAGAACGGATTATGACCTTTACTTTTCCTCTCTAAGTGTTGCTATTTTTAGTAATATGATTATGAAAGGAGAACCGCGGCAGACAGTGATGTTATGTTGGATGGGTTTGAGAGAAGCATTTCCAAACTGGACTTCTTTTAGTGCTTCGTCGGTCTTGAAGCCGTATCACTTCACACCCTCTCCTTTGGGCCAGTATGTACAGCAGGACATCTGTCACTGCTCTGTTCATCTGTTTACTGTTCACTAGATAATAAACACCAGCAATAGGCTGTGCACAGCAGGATTTATAGCAAAAGGCCGTCTTGCACACTACTTCTATCATTCTATTGTTAGTTTTTAAGGTTTCTACCCTTAGAGATTCAAAAAACAACCCACTTCATACATGTGACAGGAACCACAAGTTCAAAAACACAAGCTAAGGTGGCTCACACCCCCGCCCTCTCATTCAGGGCACTGCTATTAATCACTAGCTGTCTGTATGTTCCTTCATATTGACCTGTCGCTGCTTCCTGCTGGTTTGCTGGCTCATTTCAGCAGAGAAACTCACTGCGGTTTCCAACAGACTCACCCCGTGAAATGTAGCTTTCCTTGTTCAACGAGTTCGTAGGACAACATCAGAAAAAAGAGAGAGTGCGTTTGTGTTTGTTGGGATCGAGCTACAGACCTGCCCTCGCCCTACCCTCCTCGCTCTCTTCCTTTGTATATGTGTGAGACTCCTGTTTCCCCAGTGATCATTTGCATTTTGCCCTGAAACAGCAGGAAAACCTGAGGTCACTTATCAGCTGTGTGTGTGTGTGTGTGTGTGGGTGTGTATATGATTCACATTACGTTCATCCTCATCAGACAAGTCAGTGACCCCTCGTGCCCTGTGGATGGGGGGGCTGTGCCATCCTGGAGGAGACCACTCAGTTATTCAGGCTCTTCTGTTCATTTGTCATCTGTTTGCATCTGGGTTGTTTTCTTTTTGGGTAGCACCTATAACTTCTATACACACAGGAAAACAGGCACCAGCTTGTGAATTATAAATGATGGTTTTTAACAGATGCCACACATGCACATTGGTCTAATACCAAACCAAGCACCTTCTGTAGGTGTGATAAGATTTGTGGAAACTTCAGTGGGTGAGTGGCACCATAAAAAAACACTCATCTGGACACAGTTATATGTCTGATGAGCAAGCAGACCAGAAATCACCATGCTAACACTAACATTTACTTTGCGTTCTCACGAAATTCCTGTGTGAAACAGAGCCAGGATCAGCTCAGTTGTGGGAAATGAGGGCCTGTGTTAAAGCAGTGCAGCTGTGAATGAGTGCAGCATGCTGCTGCCCTCTAGAGGAAATGGGGTGAAACATCAGAGTAGTGTTGTGCTCATCCATCTCCTGTTACTTTACCTATGTACTCTCTCAACAAAATATCTTGGTAATTGCTTATATGCATTTATTTTAAAGGCCCTGAAGTCCAGGATCGGTTCACCCAAATCACAATGATAAACATATCTCCTCATTCAGCTTGTACTAGTAATATCTAGCTGTGCAGATGGTTGTCGCTTTAGTAGCTTAGGTTTTAAGAACTCCATCTTCTGCTTCCACACCAATACAGAAGCAATTAAAATCAAATTTATTTTCTAGTGCTCGTAAATTCAACATTATTTTCCAGAAACGGGAGCCCTGCTACTCTGACTAACCCACACATCACAACAGTTTTCAGTGGAAGTGCTTTCTACTGTACAAAGCAACAGTCTTTATGAAAACTGTTGACACTATGTTCTGTGGATTGTCCTCCGTATCTGGACACACCAGTTTTTATAGACTTTTTCAAATGTAATTTAAAAATCGGTGTCAGCTTTATTGTCCAAGTATGTTCATACATACAAGGTGTCTGACTTTGGTTTAATATAAGTTAGTGAAGAAATATTCACTACTCATAAACATACATGTATACAGTGTGTGTGTGTGTGTGTGTGTGTGTGTGTAATAAAGACTAAAAACAATATCACAATATTTAGTTGTATTTTTATGACCGTACTATTCAACAGTTTCTTTTTGCCCATAGTCATGTCAGCTTACCAGCTGTGCAAACAATCATTTGCCCAATTGCAAACTCTTAGATTATCATCAAATAAACTACACTAATTAAGTAGGCTAAAAGAATACAGCATGAATTTTATTCACAAATTCCTCCTTGTTGACAGTTTAGATTGGCATGAAGTCCTTGCTTAGCAAAATGTCCCCTACTCTGTCAGTGTGTTCCAGGTTTTACTTCATTTGTCACTGGCAAATGCACTGACACTACCTTTGTGTTGCCTTTTGTGTTGTGTTTTCTTCATAGTGCATTGCCACTGTGTGGAAAAAATCTTTAGAAGCTGTCAGAAATATACTGCATGTTGTGTCATGTCTCTTCCTCTGTTGTTCTGTCTCAGTGGTTTGTGCAATGGCATCATTCAGGACATCATCTACAGCCAGATGGTTCTGCCTAACAGCATCAGAATCCCTCTGGTGGGACAAGCCGAGTTGGCTAGAATACGCTTTCCCATTCCCAAGGTAATGCACACACACACACATGACTGACCATTCACTGTTACTTATAGTTTTACTGTACAGTTATAAAGCCAGTCTATTTCTGTTATTGACCATGGCAGGCAACTTTGTTACAGAGGTGAAAACTCTCCAAATCCCCAACCTCTCTCCTTAATCTCTGAACATTTGCTGCTCCTCATAGTAAATCTGTACAAAAATGTCCCCTGAAGATACTGTTCATTGCTTTGTGTTTTATTTTACATCCTGCCCAGGCTCTGCAAAGTCAAATGAGCAGACAGCTAGCTTGCTCACTATATATATAGTGCCTGCTTGCTAAACTAGAGCAGGGATTTCTGGCACTTCCCCTGCTGCCAAGATGAGAAATCCTCACTTTTTCCATGCACACTACAACACTGAATGATTTCAGGGATGTTCTGTTTGTTCCTACTGCATTTCGTGTCCTCTCCCAGTGGTGGTTTCTCTCCTGGTCCGCCCTCGTCTGAACCCTCTCTGTCACTGGTCTGTCTCCTCAGGCTGTCCTGCGGATCCACTTCATTGAGGCCCAAGACCTGGTAAGTAAGGACACGTTCATGGGTGGACTGATCAAAGGCAAGTCAGACCCGTATGGAATCATCCACGTCGGGGCCAAACTCTTCAAGAGCAAAGTCATCCAGGAGAACCTCAACCCAAAATGGAACGAAGTGTTCGAGGTCTGTATCACCAACACCAGTTCTAACTTTATTTTTCCAGTAACTGTACAGGAATTTACACTTTAATAGAACTGGATATTCACACTGATCTCTTGAATTAATTTAATATATATGTAAAGTCCTCATTTAATTCAGGTTTATTCCATTTGAAGATTTAGTTACATTAGATAAATAACAACATTACATACATCATAAATATGTTGTGAAAAGTGCTTTCAGGTTTATGTTACTTTGTCACAGAAAATGTATTTACGTTGTATATTGCAATAACATGTTTTTCACATTAAGGACATTTTTCAACACGGCACAGCCCACCGATACCATTTATAGTAAATAACCATGACATATTCATAACTTTCAGAGCATGTTTACAAAGAAAAAGTGCAGATACAAAGTTTTTACTTTGGGAGTTCAAGAGTTTTAAAGTTTTGAAAACAACAACAGCTCCCTTCCAAAGCTTTATGACTCAAATCCACAAACATGTAAAGGGCAGGATATAACAGGAGCTCTCTGGAGAAAAACAAGCACAAAGAATCAGTGTTCAGTTTGGATGCACTATGACAGTGTGTTTATACAGCAGCGGCGAGCAGATCCAACCACATGGACTTGTGTCAAGACTTCACCACTTCAGTGTTCAGTGTGTGTGAAGCTCATGTTATTGTGTGGCTTTGGACTTTCAGGCCCCGATATATGACACAGGAATGAATATGGAGGTCGAGCTGTTTGATGAAGACACCGATGAAGACGACTTCCTGGGAAGGTAACCCAGGCCTTCACTTTGCCAACTTCTCGACTTCTCTGACTTAGTTTATACTTGTACAACAGAAACACAACATGTCTGTTCCTTATAACTTGCAAGGTCTGATTATTTTACATGACTAAAAGGTCTTTTTTGTAATTTTCACTGTGGTTTAAGTCCCATTTATGACATGTAGTACTTACCAGTCATTCATTATTCACATATAGTTTGTTTGTTGTGCAGTAGGATAGCTGCACATGGAAATGGATTCACTGAGTGCCCTGTGGATTCTGTAACAGGATTTCACACCTGATTATGTTGACAGCAGAGGACAGGAGCCCTGAAACTGATTCACAGTGGTGTTTGATGGCTGCTGTGCTCGCTCAGTGCCATTCACCAGGCGATGAGTCGGCCTCGATCAGACGCGCTCAGTGAAAATTTCATCTGGTTTGTGACTTGTTTTTTAGGCTGCTGCTCGACCTGGACCAGGTCATGAAGGAACAGAAGGTGGATGAGGTAATTTGCATAATTTTCTCACTGCATCCAATTTTCTCTAGAAAATCTCAAGTTTTAACAAGCATAATTTCCATTTTCAGTGGTTTATGCTGGAGGATGTGACCAAAGGGAAACTGCACCTCAAACTGGAGTGGTTATCTGTGCTGTCCACCCCTGAGAAGCTGGACCAGGTGAGATACTGCTGTTCATTTACATCCATCCATCCAGTCCCAGCCACTCACTGGGTGCGAGGCGGGGTCCACCCTGGACAGGTCGCCAGTCTATGACAGGGCTGACACTTAGAGACAGACAACCACACACACTCGCACTCACTCCTATGAGCAACTTCAGGTCCCCAGTCAACCTAAGCTGCTTGTCTTTGGACTGTGGGAGGAAGCCGGAGTACCCGGAAAGAATCTACGCAGGCACAGGGAGAACATGCAGACCCCACACAGAAAGGCTCCAGGTCGGCCGGGGCTTGAACCTGGAACCTTCTTGCTGTGAGGCATTTACATACACTGTGTTATTGTGCAGCTCTCTCTCTCTGAACAAGGACAGCTTTGCAACAAATGGTCAGCTATGGTGCCTTCTTTTCCTAAAGGTTTTGACGAACATCAGAGCTGAACGTGGTCAAGCCAACGACGGCCTGTCATCTGCGCTGCTCATCATCTTCCTGGATTCAGCCAAAAACCTGCCGGTGAGTCAGTCGGGTCCAGCGTCACAGAGTTTGCCTGCAGCGGCCACATATAAAAGTCGTCAGAATGAAAAATACTTACAGTGGGTACGGAAAGTATTCAGACCCCCTTAAATTTTCCACCCTTTGTTATATTGCAGCCATATGCTAAAATCATTTAAGTTCATTTTTTTCCTCATTAATGTACACACAGCACCCCATATTGACAGAAAAACACACAATTTTTGACATTTTTGCAGATTTATTAAAAAAGAAAAACTGAAATATCACATGGTCATAAGTATTCAGACCCTTTGCTGTGACACTCATATATTTAACTTAGGTGCTGTCCATTTCTTCTGATCATCCCTGAGATGGTTCTACACCTTCATTTGAGTCCAGCGGTGTTTGATTATACTGATTGGACGTGATTAGGAAAGCCACACACCTGTCTATACAAGACCCTACAGCTCACAGTGCATGTCAGAGCAAATGAGAATCATGAAGTCAAAGGAACTGCCTGAAGAGCTCAGAGACAGAATTGTGACAAGGCACAGATCTGGCCAAGGTTACAAAAAAAAAAAGAATTTCTGCTGCACTTAAGGTTCCTAAGAGCACAGTGGCCTCCATAATCCTTAAATGGAAGACGTTTGGGACGACCACAACCCTTCCTAGAGCTGGCCGTCCGGCCAAACTGAGCTATCAGGGGAGAAGAGCCTTGGTGAGAGAGGTACAGAAGAACCCAAAGATGACTGTGGCTGAGCTCCAGAGATGCAGTCGGGAGATGGGAGAAAGTTGTAAAAAGTCAACCATCACTGCAGCCCTCCACCAGTCGGGGCTTTAGGGCAGAGTGCCCCGACGGAAGCCTCTCCTCAGTGCAAGACACATGAAAGCCTGCATGGAGTTTGCTAAAAAACACCTAAAGGACTCCAAGATGGTGAGAAATAAGATTCTCTGGTCTGATGAGACCAAGATAGAACTTTTTGGCCTTAATTCTAAGCGGTATGTGTGGAGAAAACCAGGCACTGCTCATCACCTGTCCAATACAGTCCCAACAGTGAAGCATGGTGGTGGCAGCATCATGCTATGGGGGTGTTTTTCAGCTGCAGGGACAGGACGACTGGTTGCAATCGAGGGAAGGATGAATGCGGCCAAGTACAGGGATATCCTGGACGAAAACCTTCTCCAGAGGGCTCATGACCTCAGACTGGGCCGAAGGTTCACCTTCAAACAAGACAATGACCCTAAGCACACAGCTAAAATAACGAAGGAGTGGCTGCACAACAACTCCGTGACTGTTCTTGAATGGCCCAGCCAGAGCCCTGACTGTGTTTTTCTGTCAATATGGGGTGCTGTGTGTACATTAATGAGGAAAAAAATGAACTTAAATGATTTTAGCATATGGTTGCAATATAACAAAGAGTGAAAAATTTAAGGGGGTCTGAATACTTTCCGTACCCACTGTATTTAACTCCATATGGTGTTTCCATACAGAGAGCTACTTACCATTAAAACATGATGTATGATGACGTTTATGAGCTGCCCTGTTGATTACTAATGACACACTGCTAAAATACAAAAGTATTAGGCTTAATAGACTAGAATTACTGCTTTCTGGTTATATGTCTCCGCTAGACAGATGGGGACAGATGTGAGGCCACGTGACCTTGACCTTTGACCTGTGACCA